TGATGAAACTGGCCTTTGGGCAAAAGAACTGCCCTTGCCTTGATTACTGTCCAAACTGGACAAGCAGGATACAAGCAAAAATGACAGTCAAACCTTGCCAAGACAGGGTAGAACAGTCTTTTGAATTTTCCTGCCTCTGAAAATGGTCTGTCAGATACTCTAAGACAAAGTTAGTTGTCCCAACCTTACAAATGAGATTTTGGGTGATTGCCCAGGTAGCCAGCTATCTCTGTCATTTCTTACCCCTTTTGGAAATTGTTTGTTTGCACTTCCTGCTTACTCAGGTAACATTATTTTCCTTCTCAAGTCTTTGATGGGGTTGAAGACTAGACAGTCATAGCTACTTTCCTCTCATAACTGAGCCAAGATATTTTACTACAAGACTCCTCAGGATAGTACAACTATTGAAATAATCTCTGTTATTTGCTAATTAGCTTAGACTGGACATTTAGTATGTGTTTCTTGCTTGATGTTGTTCATGTTGGTTATAATTCTGTTTTTATATGCTTCTGCCTTTTCTTTCTCTTGAACAATACTTGATATTTGTTCTTATAGTATATAGTTTTGCTGTAGGTTTAGAATCCTCTTATTTAGACAAAAGGGAGAGGTGTTGTAAAAATTCATCCAGCCAATGGCCTTCTGGATACCAGTCCATGATGGTGTGGTCTGATGTACTATAAGCACAGACAGGAAGTACACTAGTCCTTTTCCCTCTCACTTGGTTGGTCAGAGTTCAGTTTGTAGTTGCCAGTACCCACAGAGCAGAGAAGGCAGCAGCTTTCTTACTGAGTGCTCTCCAATAAACGTTTGGTATCCTTTATTACAGGCTCTCGTGGACCTCCTTAATGATGCTACATTTTGACTGGGTTTAAAGCCATGTGCCAGCACTACCCAGCTCATTTTGTTTACAGGACAGGGTTGTGCTCTGCTGCACAAGTTGTGACCTCAGCAAGGAGGGGCTGGGCTAGGAGGATGGAGTACTGGCTGGCTTGGGCTTCATAGTGAGACCTGTCACAGTATCGAGACCTTCCCTATTTGGTCCTGTGTATTTACAGTTACTACCTCTTCTAGTGGATTGAACCTTTTATTATTATAAAATATTCCTCAAAATTATTCCTCAGCATTCTGATCGTTTTATTTGACCTGGTCTAATTTATAATATTAATGAAACCATTCCTGCCTGCTTTTCCATTCTAGATTTTATTTTTATTACTATTTTACACGTATGGGTGTTTTGCCTGCATATATGTTTGTATACTATGTGCATAAAGTTCTCATGGAGGCTAGAGAGGGCATCAGATTCCCGAGAAACTGGAGTTACAGACAGTTGTGAGCTGCCATGTGGGTGGTGGGACTTGAGCCTGGGTCCTCTGAAAAACCAGCCAGTGCTCTTAACTACTAGGCTATCTCCCTGGGTCCCAGATTTTTTAGGTTACTATCGTCTTGAATCTCCCCCACTGTCTCTCACATAGCTATATAGTTTCTGGGGCTATAAGATAGAGTGCTGTTCATTACAGAGTTTCTCTGAGGATACGTTTCTGCAACATGGTGGACTGCATGTGTAGCAAAGCAGCCCAAAGAACACCATGTAACATGAACCGAGTGTAACGATGCTTCCAGTCTCCCTGTCATATCTGAACTGTGCTGTGGCTGTGGAAACTCCATGCCATTATGAGTCATGGGGCTCCAGCTTTATGGGCATCTCTCCCCGATCAGGTCGGCTCTTTGCTTTCCCTGGAGTCCATAAAACCATAGAATCAGTGCTCCATTCGGCTTGGCAAACACTCTGAATCTTAGCATTACCTCTGTGCTCCAGTTTCCCTCCCAAGTTCCTATCTCCACTGGGCTCCATCCATTTAAGATTTCTTGTTATTGTGGGCTGGGTATGTGCACACCATGGTGCAGGTGTCCAGGGCAGAGGTCAGCTTTATGCAGTCGGTTCTCTCCCGAAACTCGGCCTGTCAGTCTTGCCTGAAAAGTCCCTTCACCCACTGGAGCTATCTTGCCTGTCCCGTATGCGCCATTCCTGCCCTATGTGTCCTTCCTGCTGGGTGGGAAGGCTCAGGTGTGTTTGTGGTTTCCATGTTGGACCACCAGCTTTATCTGAACTGTCTGATGGTGTCACTGCTCTCACCTTGAAGATCATGAAGCTATGTGGCCCTGTGATGGGTCACACAATAGAGAGGAGACAAGGTAAGACTGACGCTGACTTGAAGCCAAATGGCATGTGCTTGGCTGACTGCCTGTAGTAGTTAGCTGTGTAACTCGGGTGTGAATGTAAGCTCCTTAATCTTCACCATATTCGTTCGTGTTATGGTGCATTTCAGAGTATGGCTGTCCTGGAACTCACTTTGTAGACCACGCTGGCCTAGAACTCACAGAGATCCCCCTGCCTCTGCCTCCCAAGTGCTGGGATTAAAGGCGCATGCCATCACTGCCTGGCAAGTGTTGAGTATTTTATTAAGCACCTAGTCATGAATGAATGGGAACTACTCTTATATTGTTATTTTATAATAACTGTTAAAAATTCATTTGGATGATCATGTTCTTTTTTGGTTAGTTTTGTTCGTTTATTTTCGAGAAAGGGTTCTCTATATAGTCCTGGCTAACCTGGCATTTGCTAAGTAGACCAGTCTAGCCCTGAACTCACAGAGATCTCCATGCTTCTGTCTCTCAAGTGCTGGGATTAAAAATGTATGCTATCAGGTCAATGCCCATGCTCTGTGAGTTGGAACACGGTAAGGCTGGAATTTAAGACTACGACTCTATTGTGCATGTTTTTTTCCTATACTACATTACTTTCCTTAGCTTCCTTCAAAAGTGCTCAAGAAAAACAGTAATTTACAAAGTCTTTCCCAAAACCATCTCTTTACTGTCTAAATAATCACAAATAAAAACGGTGGTGCACATCTTTACAGGTCTGGGTCATCTTATTTCGGTGACTGTTTTTGAGAGACAGTCTCACGAAGGACATGGCTGTTCTGGAACTCACTACATAGTCCAGGGTGGTCTTGAACTCCCAGAGATCCACTTGCCCCTACCTTCTAGCTGCGGGGATTAAAGACATTTGCCACCACTGCCCAGCCTCAAAGCTATCTTTGACAGCAGGGTAAGTTCAAGGCCAGTCTGCACTATTTGAGTCCCTGTCTTTAAAAAAATAAAAGATAAAATCCACACTTGCTGGGCTCACATGCAATGGAAAACAAATCTCAGTGCTTGATCTCATATGCTCCAAACTGGTCTTTAATGCTCTCAAGAACAGGTTGTTTGCTAGTTAAAGGCAGAATAAGGCCCAAGAATCACAAAGACAAATTTGAGTCCTAGCTACTGCTTGATAAAGGAGCATGAATGAAGTGGTAGGGGAGAATGGGGGCAGGAAGGTATTGAGACAGGAGTTCACATAGCCTAGGCAAGCCTTGAGCTCATACTTTTTTTAAAAAAAATTTATTTATTATACATACAATATTTTGTCTGTGTGTATGCCTGCAGGCCAGAAGAGGGCACCAGACCTCATTACAGATGGTTGTGAGCCACCATGTGGTTGCTGGGAATTGAACTCAGGACCTTTGGAAGAGCAGGCAATGGTCTTAACTGCTGAGCCATCTCTACAGCCCAAGTTCAATCTTATATAGTTGAGGATGACCTGGAACTTCTGATCCTCTTGCCTCCAATCACATGGACTCTGGGATCACACGTGTGGGCCACTGTTTCCATGAAGTCTCAGTTCTTGACATCTGTGCTCTCTGTGCTGGGTTTATCAATGTGACACACACCTGACCCACCTGGGAAGAACTCCCAGTTAAAGAGCTCCCTGTAGCAGGCTGGCCTGTGGCAAGACTGGATGTTTTCCTGATTAGTGATTGATGTGGGAGGGCCTGCCCACTGTGGATGGTGCCACCTTTTGGCACTGGCCCTGAGTGGAATAAGAAAGCAAACTGAAGTAGATATGGTGGTCCACACCTCTAATCTCAGCACTTAGGAGGCTGATGCAGGTGGATTTCTGTGAGTTCAAAGCCAGCCTGACCTACATAGAGAGCTCCAGGACAGCCAGAGCTCTGTAGAAAGACTCTGCCCCAAACAAACAAAGAAAAAAAATCAAGCAAACAAGAAAGCAGGTTTGGGAAGCCATGGACACAAGTCAGCGTGCAGCCTTCCTTCATGGTTGCCGCCTGCCTGATTTCAGCTCACAGCAGACTGTGATGGGGCTATGTAAGCCAAATAAGCCCTTCCTCCTCCCACACTGCTTTGATCGTGGGGCTTAGCACAGCATCAGAAACTGAACTAGGACAACCTTAAACTACTGGCCTGTCAAACAGAATGGCGGCAGCGGGATATGAGGGGGCAGGAGCCTGACACACACACATGCTGTGTCTCCGCAAGCATGCTGCTCTCACAAAGACAGGACTTTCCTGTTTTCCGCCAGGGAGAACAGTTGGTGACTCCATGGGTGAGACGACCCCAAGCAGCCTCCTGCTTAATCCTGCACAGGGCATTAAGTGAAAAGGGAACTATCAGTCCCAGGGAGTCCCAACTTCGAATTCAAGGGGGGCATTTCTGTCACAGATCTCTCATCAACTCTGAGTCCTGGGCTGCAGAAACGCTGACTGTCACCCTAATGTCTGCAATTAGTTCAAGTATCTTTGGTATTTATGACCAGGCTCCTCTATATTTCTGCTTATGCAGGAAATTTCTCTCTCCATAAGGAATAAAAAAGTAAAAATTTTCTTTTTCATGGATTTTAAAACTCAGTTTTTTAGCTTTTTGGGTAAAAAGGTAAAAATAAAGAAATAAACACATAAAATGGGGCAAGAATAAAACTTAATGCTGGACTGCTTCCTAAGTGCATGTAAAGCACTAAATTTGATCCCTAGCACAATCAGTCAACTACTCAATCACCTGAAAGAAATATACACAAGGACATTAATACGTAAGCGGATTCCCTCCCTCTGCCAATAACCAGGAAGGTGTGTATGTATCAACTGAGTTCAGACTATAATTACCTTCTTCTTTGGTTCTTCCCCAGCCACTTATAAAACACTCTGTGTTTTGGTCCAGTTTTTGGAAAACACCAAAAGGTAGGCAAATAGGCTGAATATAGTCATTATACCTCACAGCTTTCCTTAGACGGAACAGTGCAATATCATTTACGAACGTTTCCAGAATGAAGTCTGGTCGGGTGATGATTGCTACTACTTGAATATTCTTGATGTGGGAGCGGCGCCGGGAGAGGTCATTGGTTCCGATCACTGCTCTCCACTTGAGAGGGTCGCTGAAAGAAAGCAGATGTCCTTATTACAGACAGGCTCACTGCAACTCTTTCCCTTGATTTTCCACTAGATTGGGGTTCTTTATATTGGCCTGATAACTAAGTTTTAAGTGTTTTTCCACGTGACTTAAGTATAAGATAAAAGCACAAATGTCACGATGCAACACAGGGGAGAAAGCTAAGTGGGATCAGAACACAAGAACTCCGTGGCTGACCAGAACAGAGTCTCTTACTAGCAGACAGATGCCTGGATTATTCAACATACCGTTTTGAGACAGTAAGCCGTTTGGAAAGAAAACGAAATCCCTGAAACAGCACAAACCACCAAAATCAACTCCAAATGGATTAAAAACTTAAAACTCTATTAAATCAAGAGTTGCTGTCTTCAAGAGACAGGCAGGTGGCAGAGCTGGGATTTGCCTTCAAATAACCGTACAGCAAGGCGAGCTCTGCTCTGCAGAGTTCAGGCTCAGTACACATAAGGTACAGGTGGGAGGGGCACGAGAGGGCACAGAAGTGAATACATGATATACATGTATGAGAATGTCATCATTAAGTTATGTATAATTAATACATGCCAATAAAAATCATTAAAAAGGTAAGTTTAAAACTTGAACTGTGGGAGCTGGTGAGATGGCTCAGAGGTTAAGAGCACTGGTTGCTCTTCCAGAGGTCCCGAGTTCAATTCCCAGCAACCACATGGTGGCTCACCTGGTGCCTTCCTTGCCAGCAGTACATTGTATGCTTAATAAATAAATAAATCTTTTAAAAAAAACTTGAACTGTGTGATAAGCACATGGAAAAAACATTTCCTCTGCTTTTATACTTTCTTAAAGATTTATTTTTATTTTATGTGTTATGGGTGTTTTGCCTGTATATATGTTTGTGCACCACATATGTGCCCAATGCCCAAGAATGCCAGAAGAAGCTGGGCAGAGGCTGCACAAGCCTTCAATCCCAGCCCTTGGGAGGCAGAGGCAGGCAGATCTCTGAGTTCAAGGCCAGCATGGTCTACAGAATGAGTTCCAGGACAGCCAGGGCTACACAGGAAAACCCTGTCTCAAAAAAAAAAAAAAAGCCGCCGGGCGGTGGTGGCGCACGCCTTTAATCCCAGCACTTGGGAGGCAGAGGCAGGCGGATCTCTGTGAGTTCGAGGCCAGCCTGGTCTACAAGAGCTAGTTCCAGGACAGGAACCAAAAGCTACGGAGAAACCCTGTCTCGAAAAATCAAAAAAAAAAAAAAGCCAAAAAAGGAAATAAGATTCCCTGAATGGGGAATTAGAGGTGGTTGTAGGTTGTATTGTTGTTAGGGGCCGGGTGGGCGCTAGGAATCAAATCCAGGTCCTCTGGAAGAGCAGACAGTGATTTTAACCACCGAGCCATTTCTTGAACCCCTAATTTTTAAAAATATACTAATACTAGAATAAAGCACTTGGATTTTAGCATTAGAATTGAGAAAATTAAACCAAAAAGAAAACAGGTGAATACACAGCACTGCCATAAGAAAGGTTTTGTATATTAGTTACTTGTCTCACTGCAGGGATAAAATACTCCAATAAAAGCAGCAGAGTGGAGAAGGCTTGCCCCTGCTCACAGTCCTAGGACACAGTCCATCATGGTAGGACGGCAGGGAGGCGGGGCTTCGGGTGGCCACACACTGTATCAGGAAGCAGAGGGCGATAAACACTGGTACCTAGCTCCTATTCTCCTTTTGATTCAGTCTAAGAAAGGAATGGTGCCTCCTTCAGTTACGGAGGGTACCACCTAAACTAATCTATTGTGGATAATTTCTGACACGCATGCCCAGAGGCTAAGTATAAAAGAAAATAATTAGAAAAATGAGAAATGAGAGAAAAGAAAACTAAATCCTAATGGTCTCTGTACACTGTAAATATACATTATTCTCATTAGTTAATAAAGAAGCTAATTGTCCTATAGCAAGGCAGGATAAAGTTAGGCAGGACAATCAACCTGAGGGTACTGGAATGAAGAGGGGTGGAGAGAGAGAGTCGCCGCTGGGAGATGCAGACAGAGCAAGATGGGCATGTCACACTGGAAAAAGGTACCAAGTCACATGATAAAGCATAGATAAGAAATATGGGTTGATTTAAGAATAGCTAGTAACAAATCTGAGTTATTGGCTGAGCATTGTAATTAATATTGAGTCACCATGTTGGTTATTTGAGAAACAGCTGCAGCACAAGAAAACTCTGCCTACAAAGGTCATTTCTGCCAGGGTGAAAGCTGGTATCACGGGAAAAGCTGTGGTTCTGCCCTGTGACAGACACCAAAACCATCCAACCACACATGGCTGGAGACTGTGGCTCAGAACTGGAACACTCACCTGGCATGTGTAAGCCTTAGATTCGGCCCCCAGTATCAGAAAACAGCGACCCTCTGCCTTCTGCTAGAAGTGCCCATCTATTTGCTTGTACAAGGAAACGTGATTTACCCACTTTGTCCTCCAGGGGTCCTGATCCAATGCATGACCCAAACCCCTTATCCACAGTTCTGTCTGACAAAGGACAGCTCATTAATAAACCCGAGTGCTGGCCTCCTTCTGTACAGCAACTGCAACCCCACCGCCAGCAGAGGCTAGGCCACCAAAGCCGCAGCCCGAGGAAATAAATTCTGTTCCCACAGGCACCGACTCTTTCAAAGCTGCTCATAGAATTTATCTAAATCTCTGTCCTTCTAAAGAACTCAAGATTCAAAGGTTGAGGTAGAATCCTGCTTCCCAAAGAGGCTGAAGAGCAAGCAGCTGACCTAGCTCACGGTGTCCTTGCCTCTCCCAAGTTCTTATCCCTCCTTATAAACCCTTCTCCACCTGGTTCCTCTCTACAACTTCCTGTCAGCTAGTTGCTGACTCAGCCTCTGGACTGCAGATAAATTTTATTTAATCAACTCATCTTTGCATCATTAAACAAATGTTCCAGAGAATAAACAAAAGTAGCACACCTTCAAATAACATTCTGCAACACTGGGGAGTATTGCTTCATCTAAAACGAAGAGCTAGGCAGTGCTAATCAGATAATTCATTATACAAGTTGATAAGAAAGCTACCTAGCAATAGGAGCTAAAACTGAAAGATTAGTACGTAGAATGAAGGGCTCTAAAGGATCATGGAAAGCTGGTGTTATGAGGAATTTAGCAGAAAGAGGAAAAGGGCAAAAAAAATAAAATAAAACAGCAGCACTGTTGTACACACACACACACACACACACCCGCCAGCTCACTGGTGTCTTGGAAGAGATGCTGCTGAGCTAGGGAGATGGCTCAGGGGCTAAGAGCATCATCCTCATGCTGGCTCACAACCATCTATAATTCCAGTTTCAGGGGAACTGATGCCCTCTCTGGCCTCTTTGGGCACCAGGGACACACACTACAAAAAAGTACATATACACAAAACATTCATAGGCATAAAAATAGTTTTAGGAAAAGAAAAGAGGCACTTTCACGGAAAGTCTGTCATAATTGTCCTATTCCATAGGGCCACTGGGTTTGGCATGGAATTAGCCTTTAAACTATGTTTGGGTCACAGAAATCATAGGAAAACAGAATTTTATGACTTGGTGCAAATGAGGCCCAAGAATCTCTTCCAGAGTTCAAATAATAAAAGATTAAGTCTGACCTGACTTGTTTTTATGCAAGACATGAACAGAGTATGTTTTACAGATACACATATATATGTATGGTTTTACAGGACCACAGCCACAGTCATTAATTATGCATTTTCCACTTACCTATGCTTACTTTCATGCTAAGTAATGTAACAAACTATATGGCCTGCAAACCCTATGAGGTATCCATGGAAAAAGTTGCCAATGTGTGACTTAGTCATTTCTTATGAGTTCGAGGCCAGCCTGGTCTACAGAGCCAGAAAGGCTCCAAAGCTACACAGAGAAACCCTGTCTCGAAACGCAAAAAACAAACAGCAGCAACGAAAAGAATTCATCTCAACAAATGCATCATCTACACAATTCTATGTAACGACGGGTAGATATGCTAGTCCGCCATTTCAGACTGTCCCTAGGAGAGAACAGGAGCGGCGCTCGGGATACATACCTAGCCTCTTTAGTGCAGTGGGCTGCAGTGAGGACCCACCTTTCTCTCACCAAGGCACCACCACATATATGCACAAGAAAATCGCCGTCCTGAACCTGCAGGCTGACTAGCCACGGCCAGGCGCCAGCAGCAGCTCGGGTACCTCCTATGATCCGAGACCCTTCCAGTGCACCCCTTAGTGGTGCTATTCCACAACCTAAAAACAAAGCAATACATTATTTGGAGTAAACACCCACATTTTGTGTTATTCCCTAACGTGAATACATTAACACAATCCCTTTTCTCTTTAGACACTGATAAAGCAAGCCAAATCCGAGGCAAGCTAAACTTTTCAGTGGCAAATGCATTAAGACAAACAAGCCATACTTGACTACTTTAGTAACATAGAAACAAGTTTCTCTGGCCCAGCTCTTTCCTTTGTGGGGCAGTGATGGAGAGAGCGCCTCAGACCCCGCAGGACTGCAGCGTTGCCTTGGTTTCTCCGTGTAGCCCTGGCGGACTTGGAACCTTGTAGAGCAGTGGTGGTACACGCTTGTGATCCCGTTCAACAGGATCAGACAGTAAGAAACCTGTCTCAAGAGTGAGTGAGTGTGTGTGTGTGTGTGTGTGTGTGTGTGTGTGTACGTGAAGCTTCAGGCTTAGTGGCTGGGGATGTGTAGCTCAGTGGTAAGCGTGTGTAGGGAGCACGTTTATAAATACGCCCCTGGCTCAATCTCTGACATAAAACAAAAGTTGTGATTAAGAGACACAGCTATGCATTTCTTGCCACTTAACCGGTTGAACAATTCTCAGCTGCATTCTCAACAGGCCACCTAACAGCCCTTTGGGCCACGAACACGCAGACATTTGTTTATCAATTAAGCGCCGAACGTTTTCGGCGCCGGCAACGCTGCCGAGGGTCTGGGAGCAGCTGAGTTCTGGCTCTGGGGTGAGGCGGTGAGGACCGCGGGCGAGCCTCCGCCCGTGACCAGATACTGCCCTTCGTGAAGGGCTCTTCCTCTTCCGGGGCGGCCTCCGGCCCTGGCTTGCTGGCCTCTTCCTGCGCCGGGGTGGGGCCATCCCTGTGGGGCGTGTGGAGCTCGGAGAACACGAGGGCGCTACCCAGGCACAGCAGCGCGGCCCTCAGCGCCCACGGACCCATGGCGCCCGCAGGCCCCAAGATGGCGGCGGCGCCCGACGCCCGCGCGCGCGGTGCCTGCCGGTCATCGCCCCACGCAGGCAAGGCCGCCCGGGCCCTGCCGCCAACCGGAGGCCGTCGTGGACTTCCGGAGAGCTGCGGGCTCGGGAGGCCACGGGGGGCGCCTGAAGGAAGCTGGCGAAGGAGCAGCCGAGCAGAGCACGTGGGGTTGACTCGGAGACGGTAAAGCCCGGGGCGGGTTCGCAGTCATCGCGGCTTTGAAGCAGTTTGCCGCCAGCACCTCAGGAGAGACCGGCAGGGGCGCGGGAGGAAGGGAGGGCTCCCCACGGTGAAGTCCCTCGGCCGCGGCGGAGACCACAGCTGTGGCTGGGAGGCCGAAGGCCCTGGCCGGTCCACCATTCCTGAAGGCAGACAAGCCGACTTCCTCAGCACAGCCAATCCACTCCCACTCACGACTGGAGCACTCTCACGCACCACGCCCACTCACGGCCAGAGCACTCTCACACACCACGCCCACTCACGGCCAAAGCACTCTCACGCACCATGCCCACTCACGGCCAGAGCACTCCCACTCACGCCTTGGAGTACTCCCACTCCATGGGGCCTGGAGCACACCTACACATGGTCACACGCTTCATACAGCCACAGATGCCCACAATAAGTCGAAATTTAATATTAAAAAACTTAGACCAGCCTGGTCTACAAGAGCTAGTTCCAGGACAGGCTCCAAAACCACAGAGAAACCCTGTCTCGAAAAACCAAAAATAATAATAAAAAAAAAACAAAAAAAACTTAGATGTGAAGGTTGCCTACGTATATTTAATAAATAATATTAATAATTAATATTAATACGCTTTTAATCCCAGCACTCGGGAGGCAGAGGCAGGCGGATCTCTGTGAGTTCGAGACCAGCCTGGTCTACAGAGCTAGTTCCAGGACAGGCTCCAAAGCCACAGAGAAACCCTGTCTCGAAAAACAAAAACAAACAAAAAAAAATAATATTCCTTTTAAGTGGGAGTATTTAAAATAAAAACATTAAAATGGCCGTGAATCATGCTTATGGCCTAAGCCTTTTTGTGTTTCTCAACTACAAACCTAGAAGTTCCTAGGAATCTCAAAAGAAACCCATTTACAGTGAAAGACATGTCTTAACCCCGTTGTGCAGCCCTTGTGGTCTATGGTTTCATTTTCATTTTGTGTGTATATATAAGTAGAACTGGACTTATGGATGGCCATGAGCCACCATGTGGGTGCTGGGAACTGAACCTAGATCTTCCAGAGAGCAGTCAGTGATCTGAGCCATCTCTGCAGCCCCATGCTTATCTTTAAAAAAAGAAAGAAATTACATTTTATTTTGTGTGTGCATGAGTGAACACGTGCATGTCTCTGTACACGTGTGAAGGCCAGAGGATAGCTGTCAGGGAGTGGCTCTCTCCGCCATATGGGTCCTGGAGACTAAACTCAGTCAGGCCTGGTACCAAGTGCCTTCTCTCACTGAACCATGCTGGGGACCCAGCTGTTGTGGAATATTACTTTGACTAGGCAAATACGTGTTACATTTGTTTATGCTGCATTTATGTAAAGATGCGCTGCTGTTTCACCTGGCCTGCCTAAGGCACCTGATGGGTCTAATAAAAAGCTGAACCGCCAGTAGCTAGGCAGTAGATGGGTGGGGCTGGCAGACAGAGAGAATAAATAAGAGAGAAGAGAAAGAGGGCGAAAGAAAGGGAGACACTTGAAACCAACCGGCCAAACCACTAGCCAGACTTGGAAGAAGCAGGAAAAAGTAGGTCATACTGAAAGAAAGAAAAGTAAAAAGCCTCAAGCCAAAACATGAAGAGAAACAAGTTAATTTAAGTTATAAGAGCTAGTGAGACAAGTATAAGATAAGGCTGAGCATCTATAACTAATATGAAGTTCTGTGTCGTGATTTGGGGGCTGGGAGTTCTAGAAAGCCTGCTACACCCAGCCACAGTTTTATCAGATTACATCCTAACCAAGGTACCTTTGGAGCCACGCTCTAACTTCACTCTTGGCGACCCTTTGAGATGTGGTGAGAGTGGAATTACCCACTGCCGTGGTGCTGACAGGGCTCTCTTTGAAGAGCACCTCTTCCCCCAGTGTCTCCTACCTCCTGTGGCTTAATTTTGCTTTTTCTTTTTTTCAAGACATGGTTTCTCTGTGTAGTCCTAACTGTCCTGGAACTCGCTCTGTAGACCAGGCTGGTCTTGAACTCATAGAGATCTGTCTGCTGCTGCCTCCCAAGTGCTGGGATTAATGGCGTGCACCACCATACCTGGCAGTTTATTTATATATGTATATGTGATGTGCTTGTCTGTGTGTGTGTGCCAGGTTCATGTAGTGACCATAGAAGCCTTAAGAAGGTGCCAGACTCTCTGGATTAAGAGAAGTGCTCTTAATCACTGAACCATCTCTCTCATGCTTAAATTTATGTTAGAAATCTATTTTTACTTGATTTTATTGAGACACAGTCTCACTATGTCTTAAGGTTGGCCTTGAACTTGGCGTGTAGATCAGGATGGCCTTGATGCACCTGCTTCCCAAGTGCACCATTGTACCCAGCAGAAATCTCTTTTTAATAAATTCCAGGCCTCCTTGATACTGGCTGAGCTCAAAGTTCTTGCCTGGGGCAAATTCAAGGAAGCAGCTTTCTGTTAGTAGAGGCCCCTGAAGGATGGTGATCTCAGTCGGCCAGCTGCATGCTGGGCTGTGTCCCCTGAAGGATAGGGACCTCAGCTGGCCCACTTGTACTGAGTCTTTGTCTCCTGCTGTGTTGCTGGTGAGAAGGCTGAACTGATAGAATCACGGTTAAGGGCCTCTCTCCCCACAAGCCTCTCTGAGAGGCTTTGGACACATTCCTCGACATTCCAGTCACCTTAGGGAAGGCCTTTAAATAGCCCTGGCTAACCCACTCAACAAGTTAGTACTACCTTATCAATATAAGCGGGCTTTCTTTTCTTTTCCTTCCTTTCCTCTTTCTTTCTCTTCCTTCCTTTTTTGTTAAAACGGAGTCTCATGTGCCCACCAGGCTGGCTTTGAGTTCCTCCACCAATTTCAGGCATGAGAGCTACTATGCCTATCTGTGCTGGTGATGCAGCCGAGGGCTTTGCACATACAAGGGAAGCCAGTGCTATGCCAACTGAGTCACAGCCCCAGGACTCATGCACCTAGCTTAGTTCTTAAATTTTTGTTTTATTTCCATGTGCACAGATATTTTGCCTGCATGTGTATCTATGTACTGCTTTCATGTCTATGGCCCATGGAGGCCAGAAGAGGGCGTCAGATCCCATGGAACGGGGAATAGACAGTTGTAAGCTACCATTTAAGTGCTGGGAATCGAACCCAGGTCCTCTGGAAGTGCTGTCATTGCTCTTAACTGCTGAGCTACCTCTCCAGCCTCTCATGCTCCTAACTTAACTTGAGTGGGGGCTGAGGAGATAATTCAGTGGTTAAGAACACTGGCTGCTCTTTCAGAGGACTTGGGTTCAATTCCCAGCACCCACATGGCAGCTCACTACTGTCTGTAACTCCAGTTCTAGGGAATCTGACACAGACACACTAGTGCACATAAAACAGAGTTGAAGTTTTTTAAAAGATTGGTTTAATTTGCGGGCAAATGGATGGTTCTAGGAAAAAAAAAAAGTGAAGTAACCGAGACCAGAAAGACAAATATCATATGTACTCACTCATAAGTGGTTTTTAGACATAAAGCAAAGAAAAACCAGCCTACAGTTCACAGCCCCAGAGAACCTAGAGAACAATGATGACCCTAAGAGGGACACACATAGATCTACCTAGGAAGGAGAAAAAGACAAGATCTCCTGAGCAAAATGGGAGTTACAGGAGAGCATAGGAGGGGAGAGGGGAGTGGAGAAAAATATATAGCTCAATAAAAACAAAAAAAAAAAAATCAGTTAAAAAAAAAACAGTCTTGCGTGAAGACAGCCTTGCCCCGCCTTAGTAAACATCGCTGACTAGTTCCCAGCGTTTTAACCATCGGTGTCTGACATTCAGTTTTCCAGGATTTTGTCATTCCTGTCTTGAACTATGCTGAGCCCTGCCATGTTCGCCCCGTGGGGTCAGGAATAAAGGAGTGCTGTGGGCGGTGATAGTCTGAGGGCGTGGCCTTTTGGCAGAGAGATGGGAGGGGCCAGTGCAAGGAAGCATCCTATCCAGGCAGAGATGGGTGGCGCAGCGGATAAAGGGAGCAAATCCTTTGGGTTAGGTGCTAAGCTTGAGTCAGTGAGTGGGAAGTAGGCACTTGTATAAGCAATCCAAGTGGTTCCTGCCTTGACAGTGGCAAGGGGCAGTCCCTCCTCACTCAGCATCATCAGAAAGGTGGAAGAGAAACAGCTGGGACAGGCATGTTTCTGTGGGAGGTCTGTGTACAATTGAATTGGATATGGTTTTGGAATCAGGGCAAAATAAGGAGTCTAGCTATGACAGAGAATAAGGGTTCAAAAGTGGGGGCATGCTTTCAAGCTAAGAAACAGCACAATAGGGGGCTGGTGAGTGTCTGGCTTCCCTCTGCCCTTCCTTCCTATCTGCATTATCCCTTCTCCGTGGGACCACACTCATCCACAGACAGACACTGATGCTACAGCATCTTCTTTCTGGCAGGGTGCTCCTCTGAGTTCTAGACGCCGAGGTTTGAATGTGTCCTCCAAAGGCTCATGGACTGGAGGCTTGGCCTCTAGTGGATGACACGGATGTGTGGGAAATTAAAGGAGGGCCTAAGTTGGGCTTGGGGGACATCAGATTCTGAACCTTTAGACCGAGACTGAGTTTGTTTTATTGTCTGGAGACAAGGTCTCAGGTTGATCAGGCTGTCCAGATCTCCCTATGTAGCCAAATGTAGGCGTGTGCCAGATTCAGCTAAGTCAGAGCTTGTAAATCTCTTCTTTACAAAGTGCCTTCTATCTGGTATTGTGTTGTAGCACGGTGGATTAGTGCAGGAGGTCAGCACTGTGAGATTAAAGTTG